GTATTGCCACTGGGGCTTCGGTTCACGTATGCATGGGTTTACTCTAAATAAAACACATTTAGACAAGTCTCTATAATCAGTGAATGGCTGCAGGCCTTTCGGTCACACACTTGAGTCTCATTAGGGTGCTTTCAAACCAACCAACCAACAACACCTCACAGCTTTTTGTAGTCTGGGGGGAAAATAATTTGGGGGTCGGGGCTGATATCAAAATTTTAACAAAACTTGGACACCATCCCAAGTTGTAGAAGCCTGATAATGAGTTTGGGGTGTACTGTCCCACAGAAAATAACTATGTTTAGATGGATCGAGTGTTTTAAGGTCAGTTGGGAAGTTCCCAAAGACGAGCCAAGAGAGGGAAGACTGTCAACCTGCACCAATGAAGCAGCTGGAGCTGGAGTTCAGAAACCAGTGGGACGAGACCACAGAATCCCCACCGACGTCAGCACTACTAAGCTGCGATCTCACATTGCTCAGTGTCCCCAGTTTCAAGAGAACATCTTGACCTCAGCAAGCTTTTAGTTCAATGAGTGCTAAAAGCGTCATGCGAAGATCAGCTAGCTCATTTGTTCTCTGACTCATTTGCCCTCCCGTCTCCGTTTGGGGGGGGGGGATTATTCATCACTGCCCTACCCCCCTGCAATGAAAAACTTTTGTATCATAGCCCTGCCCACCCACTATGGGAAACACTGAACTAACTCAAAGAGCTGATGTCTTCATCTGCATTTTAGTAAGGCAGAAGACAACTGAAGGCCGTTTTATAAAATGAGTCCTCAATGGGGATGAGTCTTGGATTTACCAACACAATCGAGAGAGCAAGGTCCAATAAAAATTGGGCATCCGAGGGGATCTGTGAGGCCAGTTAAATTCAAGTCAGAGAAGTCAGCTTGGAAGGTATGACAACTGTTCTTATAATTTTTTTTCCCCAAAGGGATCATCTTGATAGATTTCCTCGAGGGACACAGGACCATCCCCGCACTTATTAGAAAGAAGTTTTAAGAAATAGAAAACCGATTTGGTAGCGAAAAAAGGCAAAAGAGAGTTAGTGCTGAGGGATTTCTTTCCATCAAGACAATGTCCCTGCTCATCCTCCAGGGAAGAGCTGTCCTATGGGAACTGCTCTGGGAAACCTTACCCCATCCTCCCTAGTGCCTTGATCCTGCCCCTGCAGACTTCTTTTTGTTCTCCCAATTCAAGGAACATTTAAAAGGAACACAACTTGAGGTGGTGTAAACTGAAGAGTGTGGAATCTTTAGGATGAGAGATGGCAACACTGTTATCACAAGTGTATAGATCTAGAGAGAGGATATATCGAGAAACAGTAGCTTCACATGATTGTTATTTTTATTTAACAAAGGTTTCTGTGATTTTGGAGCAATATCTTTACATTTATCTTTGTATTCTGTTAAGTTGAAGGGAAAAAACCCCAGGATATTCATTACGTGGTCTCATTAGGTAAAGGATCAAAATTTTTCAAGGCACTATTCTCTACACACACAAAAATTTGCAAGACAGCTATCTGGCCACTCAACTGGGAGAGATCCATATTTACAGCCCTCCCAAAGAAAAATGACCTAACAAAATGTGGGAATTATCCAACAACATGAATATCATATGCCAACAACATTTTGCCGACAGGGAGCTGCCAGAAATTCAAGTTGATTCAGAAGAGGACATGGAGTGAGAGATATAATGGCTGATGTCAGATGGATCTTGGCTAAAAGCAAAGAAAACCAGAAAGATGGTTACCTATGCTTCATTGACTATATGAAGGCATTGATGCTGGGGACCACACGAATTATGAACAACATTGGGAAGAATGTCAATTCCAGAACATCTAACTGTGCTCCTGCAGGAACTGTGCTTCCACCAGGAAGCAGTCTTTCGAATGGAACAAGGGGATACTGCTTGGCTGTGTATCAGCAGAGATGTGCATCCTTTCACCATGCTTGTCCACACTCTGTGCTGAGCACATAACCTGAGAAGCTGAGTTGTATGGAAAAGAAGGAAGCAACGTTCTTACGGAAGGCGAGGAAGCACTTCACCGATGAAGATCAAAGACTGGAGCCATCAGTATAAATTACGCCTCAACATAAGGAGAACATAAACGTCCTTATAACTGGACCAATAAGCAGTATCATGAAAGCGAAGAAAAGATGGAAGTTGTCATGGATTTCACTTTACTTGGAGCCACAATAGCACCCAGGAAAGCACAGGTGCCCCTTTGAGGACCGAGGGGTACCTGGGCCAATCACGGTGTCTTCAATTGCCTCAGATGCACACAAAAGCTGGGCAGTGATGAACAAAGACCAAGGGAGAACTGACGTCATTGAATCATGGTGTCGGTGAAGAATACGGACTGCACCACAGCCGGCCAGAAGAACAAACCCATCTGTCTTGAAAGAAGTGCGGCTAGAATGCTCCCTAGAAGCAAGGATGGTGAAACTGTCTCCAGTACTTGGATCCTAGAAGAGATCTCCCCAGAGTAGGACATGAAGGTCAGCAAAAAAAGAGGGAGACTCTCAATGACACTAAAGGACACACTGGCTACAGCAATGGGCACAAACATGACAACAGTAAGGGTGGAACTGGACTGGGCAGTACTCCATCTTGTTATCCCTAGGGACTGGGCAGTATTTCATTCCGTTATCCACAGGGACTGGGCAGTATTTTATTCCGTTATCCACAGGGACTGGGCAGTATTTCATTCCGTTATCCACAGGGACTGGGCAGTATTTCATTCCGTTATCCACAGGGACTGGGCAGTATTTCATTCCATTATCCACAGGGTTTCTATGAATTCAGTCAGACTTGGTGGCACTTAACATATAAGATCAACTAGACCAGGGCTTCTTAAACTTACCCCACTCAGGACCCTTTTTCACCAAGAATTTACAAGATGGGCAAGAGCTGCAGAGGTTTATTGTGAGTTTGATTTTGAATTAATTTTTGGTCTTTGTATGTTCAGAACACTGTTACTGTTGCCAATTTTTTTAATGACCTCTCATTCAGACTATGACTCACAGTTTAAGAAGCTTTGAAATTGATAATACCAAAGAAACCTACTGCCATCCGTTGGGTTCCAACTCATAGTGACCCAATAGGACAAAGTACAACTGCCCCTGCAGGTTTCTGGGACTTTGAATCTTTGCAGGAATTGAGTGCTTGTCTCCTGAGGGGCAGTGGATGGATTCAAACTTCTCATCTGCTGCCCTCGCGGTTAGCAGCCCAACTAGAAGCCCCCATTACCCCACCAGACTCCCTCAAATAGACAATGAAATGTAAAAACCCAAACTCACCGTGATTGAGTTGATACAGACTCATAGCAGCCCTATAGGACAGGACAGAACTGCTGCTGTTGGTTTCCAAGATTAACTTTTTTTTAAAAATTAAACTTTATTTATTTAAAACCATTTTATTGGAATGCAACTCATATCACACAATAGTTCACCACAATCATATCAAGAAGAGTTGTACAATCATTACCACAATTGGGATTGTAACTTTATTTTTGTGAAAAATTTGCCTTTTATTTGAATAGAGAATAAGAGATCAACATATTTTTTAAGTGGCTACAAAAATAAATATTCATTCAGCATATTAATAGTCATTTAAGCTGAGAATAACTCTTTGGGATGGTGGAAAACCTTATCTTTGAGGAGCAACTGGTCCTTGCAAACTGCCGACCAACTTCGTGGTGAGCAGCGCAACCCGTTACCACTGCCCTACTCCCACGGAACCATTAATCCAGTTCCTGTCTGGTGAGATTTACCTATCCTGGATTCCATATACAAAATAAAAAATGCAACGAACAATAACAAAGTAAAATAGAAAAACCTCAATCGAAAAGCAGAAAACATTTAAAACTAGAGCAGATTTTAAATGGATCAACAAAGGGTATCAAATCATAAGGTGTGAAATTTTAATGTAACGGCATCTGCAATTATCCACTTTCTAACGCATTGTGCATGACAGCATTGCAGTTTATAGCCACATCCTGGTCTCTGGTCAGAAGGGATTCATCAGACGCTCAATCAACACCTTTCTGATGGGTCCCTTCACTAGCGAGACTTGTCTATCCAGCTCCTGCATCCTCCATCGCTCGGGGGCCAAATTCACCTCTATTAGGCTCAGAGCACACCTGGGGGAGGTGGGGCGCGAGGTGGGGCAGGCAGGTTTTCGACTCTGGAGAAGAGGGATGGGGTGTGCGGGGCATCGTTGCCGGCAGATCTGAGGACCCACCTTTCCTTTAGGACCAGCGGATCCCTAAGCCTATGGGCTAGTTCACAGCCGCTCGCAGCTGCCTCCGGCCCCCCTGGAGAAGAGATCGGGAGTGTTGGCCTGGGACCCTCACTCACCCTCAAGCGGTGCTGCAGGCACTTGGTGCTCAGCCTCCAGGGACCCCGAGCCGGGAACGCGGGAGAGACCGGCGGACCCCGAGCCCGGAGCGGCAGACGCGAGGGGTGGCCACCGCCGGGGAGGAAACCGGCGTGGCTCGGAGGGCGCCGGCGTGGTCCACTCCCCCCAGCCTTCTTCTGTCAGGCTCCGTACCTGGCTCCCCAGCGCCGCAGCTCCCAAACGCAGCAGGCAGCTGAGCGGGAGTGAACTCTGCACCTGGAAGATCAATCCGGGTCAGTCCACGACCTCCTGTGGGCTTCCAACCAGGACCGAGGACTGGTCTGGGGGCGGGGGGCGGACTGGCCAACGCGGGGGTTTCGAGTGGGGGAGGGGGTGCAGAAGGCGGGAGCGCCGCCGTCGATCAGAGGCCACGCCCACCCCTGCCCAACTCCCGCTACTGCCCCGCCCACAAGGGGCGGGACCCGTGGGTGCCACGCCGAAACCGTGTTCACGCCTCTTCGGATTTCATTGGCTGAAAGGCCGTGGGAAGCTGAGACCAGCCACCAATTGGAAAGCTCGGGGGGCGGGGTCAGCACCGCAGGCGTCCTCAGGAGCCAATAGAGAAGAGGAAAGGAAAAGCACTTCCTGAGTCCGGGGCCGGCGGAAAATGGCGGCCGCCGAAGGGGGCTGGTGCTTGTGCAAGTTACTGAGGTGAGGAGCCGACGGTTCGGGCTGCCAGGTGTTTTCTGTTCACTGATGGTACTCGCCCGCCCAGGGCAGCCAGTGTTTGCGGGGAAGGGCCTGCCGGGTCCCGGACTTGCGAGATTTGCTCCAGGCCAGAGAGCGGTTACTCCAGTGCTGGGGTCTCCTAGGTCGAGCTTCAGGTTTTTCTTCCCTTTGGCCGCATTCCCGTTGTGGCTGCTAATGTTGGGTGCCGTGGAGTCTGTTCCGATTCTTAGCGACCCAGTGTACCCCCGACAGAAACACCGCCCGGTCCTCACAACTGTCATGTCTGACCCTGTGGTGGCAGCCGCTGTGTCAGTCCCTCGCGTCGACGACCTTCCCTCTTTTCCTTGCCCTTGACTTGACCTTTTCGGTGACTAGTCTCTCCTGAGAACTTGTCCAAAGGACTTGAGGCGAAGTCTCGCCGTCCTCTCTTCCAGGGAGCATGCTGGCTGTCCCTCTCCCATCACGGAGTTGTTGTCCTTCTGGCAGTCCGTGGTACTTTCAGTATTCCTCACCAGCACCATGATCCAAACGCGTCACATTTCCCGCAGTCTTCCTTTATTCATTGTTCAGCGCTCACATGCATGAGACGACTGACACCAGGGCTTGGGTCAGGTGCACCTTACTCTTCAAAGTGACGTTCTTGGCGCGCCAGCCCTTTAAACAGGTCGCTGGCAACAGAAGTGCTCAATGCAGAACATCCAATTAGTCACAAATCATTCATCTTTGATATAAATTATTCCTCCCCGCCCCCCCGAATCGTTTTATTAGGGGCTCATACAACTCTTATCACAATCCATACATACATCAATTTTGTAAAGCGTATTTGTACATTCATTTCCCTCATCATTCTCAAAACATTTCCTCTCCTTCCTTTTCCTTTATGGCTGTGCCACGAGCCATTATCCAGTCTGCCCCCGGTGCCTGGTTTGGTACCGAAATTCCCGGATCGTTCTTCTCTTGTCCTTGTTTCACCCCTCAAAACTCTCTAAATACATTGTCAGTAACAAATGGCATTCAAACAGGAAGATTATTTGCACCCTTGTGTTTCTTAATTATCTGCTACATAAAAAAAAAGGATTGTTTTACCAAATATGATTGCTTTTATTTTTAGTACATAGGCAATTCATTGTTCATTTTAGAAAAACAAGGAAGTAAATAGGCATAAAAAGTAAAGTCATCAGGAATGCCACCCTCAGGGGCTAACCACCATAGGTTTGGGTGAAAAGATTTTGGTGGCAAAATTCCCCAACTTTTGCCCCAGCATTATTATAAAACACTTTGCCCCAATTTAATAAAGCAAAACCAGCTAGTACATCCTACCTCCACAGTGCTTCTAACACCTACACATTATGTTTTCACTTGAAAATTTTATTGAATAATTATTGAGTAAGCAAACAGAAACATTACCACCTAGACAGACACACAGTGACCTTGTGGTTCTAGAGTAGAACTGCTCCATGGGGTTTCCACAGCTCTTCATCTGTAGGAAGCGTACTGCCATCTCTCTGGGGAGCAAACACAAGCCTTTAGGTAGCAGTAGAGCACTTAACCACTGAGCCATCAGGGCTCCTTCCTTCCTGAATAGCCCAACCCCCTGCTATCAAGTTGACTTTCAACTTATAGGGCCTCTATATAGGGTTTTGGAGGCTATAACTCTTCATGAGGCTCTCTCTCCTCTAGAGCAGCTGGTGGGTTTAAACTAATTATCTTGTGGTTAGCGACCCAAAGCTTATAGGGTGGCACCACCAGGCCTCTTCCTGAGTAGTGTGCAAATATGCTGTAAGTGTTCCCTCCAAAGTTCAGATATTGGCTTATTTTTCATGTCCTTGCAATACTAGAACGATTTAAAAATCTTTTGGAGGGGAGAACCTACTTCATGTCTTCCCTGCCCCTTGGAATATCGTGCTATGTTAAGACAATGGCTAAATAAATGCTGAGTGAATGACTCACTGTGGGTTGCAGTTATCTTTTTAAAACCTTTGCTTAAAGATGAGTAAACAAACAGTTGACTGGCAACAGATGAGGCTTTCTACTCCCATAAACAGCTACAGTTTTAGAAACCCACAGTGTCAGTTCTATACTGCCCTATAGGGTTGTCATGAGTCTGAGTTGACTTGATGGCAGTGAGTTTGACTTTGGTTTGAGAAAAACAGTGGCGCTATTTTAGCTATGTTTAAATAAACTCTGAGAGATTATTTTGATGTGCTCAGTATACTTGCAGAGCTTGTAAATATTTCTCTGAAACTAAGCAAACAAAACAACAAAAAGGACTGGGTCAACTTTTGTCATTAATGAGATTTTGGAGTTTTTAATTGTATTTTAATCATTCAATCTGAAGAGCCTATCACCTAAAATTTCCCTACTAAATCATTTAAAGAAAATGTAAGGCTGGTAGTTTTTTGTTTTGTTTTTGAACAGGTTTTTGAAAGCCAATGTTGCTTTTATGATTCTTGATATATGTATATTCCAAGTGACAAATCATAACACATCTATCAAGATCTCTTTCCCCTTTAAGGTAGTGGTTCTTTAAATATGGTCCTTGGCAAATCCATGTGGACCTTGGGATATGGGGGACTGAGACACTCTCAGGAGGTTTTGAGATCAAAATTATTTTTATTATAGTACTAAGGGCAAATCCATGTGGACCTTGGGATATGGGGGACTGAGACACTCTCAGGAGGTTTTGAGATCAAAATTATTTTTATTATAGTACTAAGTAGTGTTTGCCTTTTTATTTTGCTGGCATCTGCACTGACGGTGCAAAAGTAATAGCAGATAACCCTGCTCCATACAAGGAAATCTAGTCAATGCAACTATTATTCATGAGTATGTACCATTCACTAAAGCTAGTGGTATAGACATTGAAGAATTCTATCAACATCTTCAGTTTGAAATTGATCAAAAATGCAATCAAGATACATTGATAATTATTGGAAATTGGAAAGTGGGAAACAAAGAAGGAATAATAGTTGGAAAATATGGCCGTGGTGACCGAAACAAAGCTGCAGATCACGTGATAGAGTTTTGAAAGACCAATGACTTCCTCATAGCAAATACTTTTTTCCAGCAAGACAAATATTGACTGTACCTAAGGAATTTCTAGATGGAATTCACAGAAATCAAGTTGACTACATCTGTCTGTGGAAAGAGACGATGGAAAAATTCAATGGCTGCAGCTAAAAACCAATCTAGGGGCCAACTATAGACCAGATCGATTACTCATATGTAAGATTAGGTTGAAGCTAAAGTGAATTAAAACAAGTCTATGAGAGCCAATATATTGTATTTTGAGAACATTTCAAGAACATTTGATGCATTAACACTAGTGACAGAAGACCTGATGACATTAAGAACATTATACATGAAGAAAGCAGAAGGTCATTAAAAAGAAAGGAAGGGTCAAAGTAGATGTCAGAAGAGATTCTGAAGCTTGTTCTTAATCGTAGTTAAGGCAAGTGGAAGAAATAATGAAGTAAAATAGCTGAACAGAAAACTTCAAAGAGCAGCTCAAAAAAGTAAAATTTAGTGAAATGTGCAAAGACCTAGAGCCAGATAACCAAAAAGGAAGAACGCATTCAGCATATCTTGAACTGAAAGAACTCAAGAAAAATGTCAAGCCCTGAGTTGCAATACTGAAAGATCCTGTGGGCAAAATATTGAATGATGTAGGGAACATCAAAAGAAGATGGGAAAAGTACACAGACTCACTGTACCAAAAAGAATTAGTTGACACTCTACCATTTCAAGAGATAGCCTGTGATCAAGAATCAGTGGTATTAAGGGAGGAAGTTCAAGCTACACTGAAATCATTATCCAAAAAAAATTTGCTAAAATGTTTCAACAAGCTAATGAAGCATTGGAAGTCTATGCCAGGAAATTTGGAAGACATCTACATGGCTGACTGGAAGCGATCCATATTTGTACCTATTTCAAAAAAAGGTGACCCGACAAACTGGTCAGATTATAGAACAATATCATTGATATTACTTGCAAATAAAGTTTTGCTGAAGATCATCCAACAGTAGTTGCCGTAGTACATTCCAAGGAGCTGCCAATGGTTCGGGCCCCATTCATAAGAGGGATATATTTGCTGATGTCAGATGGATCTTGGCTGAAAGCAGAGAATATCAGAAAGATGTATACTTGTGTTTTATTGATTATGCCAAGACATTTGAATGTATGGACCAAAACAAACTATAGATAGCTTTGAGAAGAATGGGAATTCCAGAACACTTCAATATGCTCATGCGGAACCTGTACATGGATCCAGAGGTAGTTGTGCAAACAAAACAAAGGAATACTGCATGGTTTAAAATCAGGAAAGTTGTGCATCAGGCTATGTCCTCTCACCAACTGATTGTTTATCCAATTTGTATGCTGAGTAGTAAATCATCAGAGAAGCTGGCTTATATGAAATAGAATATAGCATCACGATTGGAGGAAGGCTCATTAACAACTTGCGACATGCAGATGACACACCTACTTGCTGAAAGTGAGGAGTACTTGAAGCACTTGCTGACAAAGATCTAGGACCAGTAGGTAACATAATGATATGTGGAGATAAGATGAAAGTTGTCAAGGATTTTATCTTGACTGGATCCACAATCAATGTTCATGAAAGTAGCAGTCAAAAGATCAAATGATACCTTTCATTGAATCAGCCTGCTGCACAAGACCTCTTTCAAAGTGTTGAAAAGCAAAATAAATAAATAAATAACAAAGTGTTGAAAAGCAAGGAGGTTACTTTTAGGACTAAAGTGTGCCTGACCCAAGCCATGGTCTTTTCAATCACCTCCTATGCATGTGAAAGTTGGACATGGAATAAAGGAGATGGGGAATTGATGCATTTGTTATGGTGCTGCTTAACACGCTCAGCTGTTAACCTAAATGTTGTTGGTCTGAATTCACCCAGAAACACTGGGAAGAACATCTTGGCAATCTACTTCTCAAAATTGAGCCATGGGAAACCACCTGAAAAACCAAGCCTACTGCCATCAAATCAGTCCTGACTCAGACAGCCTGTAGGACAGGGCAGAACTGCCCCTTGGGGTTCCAAGGCTATAGTTCTTCACAGGTGCAAGACAACTTCTCTTTTCTTCAGAGACCAACTGGTAGATTCGAATTGTTGACCTTGTGGTTAGCAGCTCAACACATAAGCCACCTACACCACCAGGGCTCCTTAAATAGCAGTTCTACCCTGACCCACATGGGGTCGCCATGAGTCAGAGTCAACTCAGTGGCCACTAGTTTTGATTTTTTTTTTTTAAAGAAATCAAATGCAGAAATGAAGAAACTGAAATCCCATTCGTCATACCCTGAAAATCATTCCACTTGAGGCAAAGTGAGAGAATTACAGTGACTTTCTACGTCACATCACACTTTAAACCAGTGGAATATCGGCCATTCACAAAACAGCTTCCCCTGGGTTGTAGATGGTCATTTTGAGGGTCAAGGAGACCTTCCGCATCATGTTTAGGTTAATCATCAGATTTGTTTTTAACCCTTTAGCATCTGCACTGAGTTAGGAGAAAGTGACTCAACAGTGACTTATTTTTTTTTTT